TGTCTCCTATGTGTACAGAGTGATTCTCCTGCGATTGTTTATAAGGCACACTGTGTCCTATGCGTACAGAATCCTTCTCCTGCGATTGTTTATAAGGCGCACTGTGTCCTATGCGTACAGAATCCTTCTACTGCGATTGTTTATAAGGCGCACTGTGTCCTATGCGTAAAGAATGATTCTCCTGCGATTGTTTATAAGGCACACTGTCTCCTATGTGTACAGAATGATTCTCCTGCGATTGTTTATAAGGCGCACTGTGTCCTACACGTAGAGAATGATTCTCCTGCGATCGTTTATACGGCACACTGTCTCCTATGTGTACAGAATGATTCTCCTCTGCGATTGTTTATAAGGCGCACTGTGTCCTATGCGTACAGAATGATTCTCCTTCGGATCGCTTACACGTGTTTTCGCGACGATTTCCATGGCTGTGTGCATGTAACATATTTTAATACACGTACTGGTTCGTAAACAAAATGCAGCCGCAGCTGGCTTCATTTCACGACCGACTATTTTTGCGTGCGTGTCAGGGCGTGAAATTGAAACGGTGTCAAGAACGGAAGGTTCGTTTGACCTGTTGTCATAATTTCGAACAATGGCTCCCTTATCGCGAGACACTGAAAGGCGTTAATGTTTACGTTACTCCGTGTATTGCGAGGAAAACAAAGAAGAGGGACAGTGACACTAAAGTATAATAAAAAAGAATGGTAAAATTATAAGCACCTTTAAAGTACGAAATTAGTCGATACTATCTATACCTTTTGCCTTTTCGACGTCCATTCAAACGTCTGACGCGGTGACGATGCAGAATCTGTTCAACCCCGTTGAATGATATTCTTAATCCGTCGATGATTCTCGAGGATGTATTACATCTCACGCTAGGAAGACCATAAAAATTCTATCCCACTCGAATGGTCACAATAAATAAAGAATATGAACACGCACGATCGCTTCGGATGAGCCACTACACGGCTCAAGACGACGTTGGCTGAGATTCGAAATTAGCTACGAACAAAGCATTACTGTGTCGTTTTCCGAGGTTCAATGCCGAAGATACACCAGCCGCGTTGGCATCAGCCACTTTCGACTGCACGTGTGCCGTAAATACAGCTGGAGAAATGCCCATTAGCGTAGACTAATTCTATTGTTTTCGACATTTTGTCTCATTACAAACTTTCATAGGTTTGGAAATATTTATCAAAAATTGTTACAACAATTACCGAAACAATTTACCTACAATAATTGCAAGCTTCGTTGCATAATTAATGCTTGCGAGCAATTAATGGCATTTAGGCTACCAACCACTTTGTTTTGTTCTTCTTGTTTAGATAACATTGTTGGAGCCTCGAGCATTTTTTACTGAAAGTAGAAACGTGTCGCGAAATATATTTTTGTTTCAATTCAATTGTATATCGTGTATGAAGCTAATTCCTTTGGTTGTTAATTGGCTATCGATATATGTTAGCGAAACTTTCACAATTAGGCGAGACGTTAGTTCAAAGCAAATTCATGGAAATCGTTTAAGTGTCGTTAAGAGTATATTGAGACACTGAATTCTTGCCAAGGTGGCGTAAATCGGCGACAAAGTAGGGAGGCTGTTACTCGACGAAAATATCTATCCTAATGTCTTAGGATAAATTATTCTTCCTTACAGAGGTACAGAGAATAACTTTTTTTTAAATATTGGGTTGTCTAACAAGTTCGTACCGTTTTATTTTTTCTTTAGTCCTAGAACGACTTGTTCGCTATTTAGCAAAGTATTTGTATGCATTCCGCATTCAATTTTTCATTATTTTCCAAGCTTAGAATTTCCAGGAGGCAAAAATCAACATTTTCGACATCTTCTTTTCTTCGCTCTTCAACGAGGTAAAAAAAGATGGCCGCTCGGGAGATTCGCGAAGAAAAGCAGACAGACAAACAAAACGGAAATGTTGATTTTTGTCCCCCTGGAAATTCCATTTCTAAGCTTGAAAAATAATACAAAAAATTAAATTATCCGAAACAACGATTATCACGGGTTCGTAGAACGGAACTTTGCCAAACACTTTGCCAAACAGGAAACGAATTGCTCTAGGGTTAAAGAAAAAATAAAACGCTATGAACCGATCAGTCAACCAAATATACATACACATATAGTCGATGTTTGGGAATAGAATGTGAGAATCGATGAGGTCGACCACCGAACAAAGGCCTGGCATTCGGCAACTAAGCGCCTATAACGGTAGGAGACCAGTTACGCGTAGCTACGCAGAAACGTCCGAGGTGTGAACCACGTGTTACTTTTATTTTTCGTTGTATCTTATGTTTATGTGTTCGTGAACCAGATTTTAAATATGTATTCAGCCTGTTTAAATAAATTAAATACACGTGCTCTTTTGTTTCAGTGGGAGAGCGAGACTGCTACATGTACAAGAGAGTACAAAATATAAGTACACTTGGTCCGGACGAACGGAAGAGTTTCAGCATACGAAAAGAGCTAGACGTTTCGTGTTCGCCCAATGGAATAATACGGGTGTTTTGGTTGCCGACTAATTAACGGTCTTCTCGTACGTCTTTCCCTTTTCCGCCATTCAAGCCGTCGTTGCGCGACATAATTCCGGCAATTGCGCCAATTATTATGGGGTCAAGTGGCGGTGCGCGTGTACGGTGTGCGTGGCACGCGAAGAATAAGGAGCACCGGTAACAATTATCGCCGACAACAGTTTAATCTCCTTCCCCGCGTTGCTGTATCCTCCTTTCCTAATTTAATTAACGTCCCGAACTGGACGAAAAAGAATTCTAGCCAGCGATCACGAGTAAACAGCGTCGTATGACGATCCGCGAACCGCTGTCGAGCGTTTAATAACGTTGGGCGTTTCGAAAACAACGTTTTCGCATCGAATACACTCCCGTTAATATCGTTGCAATTTTTAAATAAAGAAACTCGGTGTTTCAAGTAGTTCCAAGTCTTGTTAAAGAGTTTCCTCTTTCCTATCTCGCGCAGAGGTCTTCCTCTCGCCATGAAATTCTGGAATGAGACAATGAGGTGGGTTTGGAGGGTGAATGGGAGATCCTCCTGCCGGGAAGTAAAGTTCATCGAACGATTTCTATCCTGTTCCGGCTCGAGTCCCTCCATCGCGACGATAACAGCCTCGAAATTTCCTGCTAACCTTGTTCCTAAGGAACGAACTAAAACGTTCGTCGAACGTTGAAACTATTCTAAAAATTTGTCCTCGGCATTATCTATCGCTTAAACGCTAACTTTACGTTCTGTTGATGCGATTAAACACTTCAGACCTGGCGTCTATAATTTAGTACACAAAATTTAAAAAGTACCAACGCTGTCGTTCAGAAATGAAGAAAGACCAGTTTTCCCAGGAAACTCCCCATTTGGGAGTTTTTCTTTATTCTTTCCATACTAATTTTATTCCAAGTTGACCCTGAAAATTAAATTACATTAGCACGAGAAAAAAGTAA